TTAAATTTTCAAGCTTTCGCAACGAACAAATAAAATTTTATTGATATTTCTAGAAAAAAAACTAAAAAAAAATGAAAAATGAAAATGTCCCTAAACAGTTCAAAATAAATCAAAATATTTTGAAAATGTTATCGTGTATAGAAAATGCAAATATAAACAACCAGTGAAAATTTCATGTATCTACGGTCATTTGTTTTAAAGTTACACCAATAACCAAATTCGATTTTTTGGAAAATCGATTTTGCGTAAAAATTCCCGTTTTTCCTTAATTTTTATGTTGTTTTTTCCCGGCGCTTGTGAAAACTACTGGAAAATGTTTACTTTTGACCCCCCAAAGTACCAACTAGATTCACTTTCCTATCAGAAAAGGTACTATTGAAGAAAATCGAAGCACTTTTACTGTCCCAAAACGTGATGACAGACACAAAAATATAAATAAAAATATAAAAATATAAAAATATAAAAATATAAAAATATAAAAACATACATCATTGTAAAACCAATACATTCATCGCTCCGCTCAGAATCTAATATAAAAACATACATCATTGTAAAACCAATACATTCATCGCTCCGCTCAGAATCTAAAATATGATATTTTTGTATTTATATTATTCATTATAACACTAATAATAATTGGAATATTCAAAATCACCTAGTAAACTTCTTGATCAATCATAATCCGTTTTCAAAATTAAAATCTGTCAAACAAAGCTTGTCTAGCTTATCGGTCTAAAAGTCACTTTTTTCATTGACTGGAGCCCCCAGCAGCCCCCTTAAGGTTTATTTTATGATACGGAATTTAAATATATTGAAAAACATTATAACAAACAAAATTAATGTTTAGATTGGTAAAATCTACATTAGTTTTGACTTTTGACAAAACCGGCTGCAGCCCTCTTAATAAGTATAGGTACTAAGGTAACCTGCATCGGGCTGCATATATAGAAGACCATATTATATATATTTAATACTTTTATTACAGTGATCTACTCAATATCACTGAACACCTTTATACCTATACTGTCTAGCATAGTAGTTACCTTTTGTTCTACAATTTACCTGTGATTAAAAATTATAATTAAAATTTTAATAAAAAATTTAAAGTATCTAGGTATGTAGAATTTGTTGCTGGGTACCTATATGCAGCAGCATATTATTATACTCAGGGTTGGGCAGTATCAAAGATACATGTATCAAAGATACGTATCAAAGATACAATTGTATCTTGTATCTTGTATCATGATACATAATTTTACAGTATCAAGTATCATGTATCTTGATACATTTTATACTAGTATCATGTATCTTTTTTTGCCAAAAGATACAAGATACTATTATTGTAAAAATAATTTCGTCGCGGATTGTATTTGTACGAAAAATATTGTCCAGGTACAATCCAGCCGAAATATTAACGATAGCGAAAAAATGTACCACACAATCTTATAAATTTAAGATAATCTGATAAACATAAAATTAAATTAAGGCGCCCGTATGACCGTAGCCCACACGCAGACCGTGTCAATAATCAATAGTCTCATAAAATATGAATCCGCTGCCTAGATATGAGTGTAACCGTTTAGGTATTTCCACATAAAATAGAAAATAAAATCAAAAGTAAAGATAAGCAATTACAGAATACTATAATTCACGTTGTTGTACCATTCTATTCGTTCTGTCGTCTGTAGTGTTACTGTGTCACTGTGTCAACTGCCCGTTTACGATTTTTTTCATAATATTTTATTAACATTGATTTTTGATTTTTTTTAATGGATTTTTTTACTGAACAAAATATTAATATTCCACCATCATTGAATGGAGCATTTTTTAAAATTGTGTCTCACGAGCAAAACGGGTCAGACTATTTTTAGACTTATTTTATAAAAATAATAAATTAAGATGTAATTGTTATGCACTTTCTTAATTTTGGTGTATTTATATTATAAATGTGATGTATTAGTTATAAATGTATAATGTGTACCTATTGACTTATTATATTATAATGTGTACAGTGTACCTATTGACTTATTATATTATTTGATATAATTATGACTTTATAAGTATTTATAAATACTATTATTATGTAGGTATAATAATAATATTATGTATTTATTATGTATAGACGGTATAGTGAATTGTGTATAGACGTTTTACGTTTAATAATTAATAAAATTTGATTGGAAATATAAAAGTATCATGTATCTTTGATGTATCAAAGATACATGTATCTTGTATCTTGTATCTTTTCTACATTCACAATGTATCTTGTATCTTGTATCTTGATACACAAAATGTATGTATCATGTATCATGTATCATGATACTTTTTTTTGAGTATCTTGCCCAACCCTGATTATACTTTGCACTTTTGCAGTTTGCACACCCTGTGTGCACGAATATAATATAGTTCAAAGTTCAAACAACATTTTTCTTTCTTATAACTACTAGTAGAAGGATATTTAACATTAATTAGTTATTGTTAAAACTTTTACCCATATTAAAATCCAAAATTTAAATTTGTGAATAAACTGATCGTTAGATGATGTGAAATTGTGAAATCTTGGTTTGGATGCTCAAAATTCGTCGACTCGTAATAACTAAGAAGTTTAATTGTCTAAGAATATAGAAAACAGAATATCAGTTAATAAGGCTTAAGAATACAAATAGGTAAGTACACGATAGGTACCTATTAGATAACGCAACGTGGTCGTAAATCGTAGTATAACTGCTACCACTGATTGGCGTAGGTACACACACATTTTCAATGGGTGGGGTTACATAAAAAAAAAATACAATAAATATTATATAATAAAATATTTTTTAAATTGTACTCATTTTATTTATCCATATTCCATACTTGGGAATATTGTAAAAAAATACCAAGGGGGGAAACCCAAAACCCCCGTGTGTTGTGTGTACGCCACTTGCTACAACTTGTAGATAGTACCTATTACCAAGTACCAGTAGGTACTACATATTATAATACAGTAGGTACTAGGTACCTGCTTACAAAGTATTGAAAAAAAAAACCTATCCTAACCTACATATTTATTAATAATCGACGTGACGTTCTTACCTATGTCTTGTAATAATTTATTACAACAGGCAACAGCCTAATATTTATGATTTAATAAGCGAAGGAACACGTGACGTCGTGACGTATTAGATAGTTATTGTTTAGGTGACCAAAATAATATTTTATTTTGCACCTATAACCACAGATGAGAGTTACTATAATATTACTAGGTACACCGTACACCTAATAATTAATATTAAGCACCAACTGGCAACTATTAATACTTGTACACTAAACTTGTATACGAGAATAAAGAATAATATTAAAATTTAAAAGTAATAATTATTATAATAGGTATTAGGGACCTATAGGAGCTATAGTAATATTAGTAGGTAACTAATAAGGTACACCTATCTCATTTTATAATATATTTTATCACGTCTACATACTATATAGTCTAATCTGATCTGTGCATCAACCATAAATGTATTATAATATACCTAATAATAATTATAATTATAATTATATATATCTGTGGCATCAACATTGGCGCTATTGCGCAAACGCACCACGCACGTTATCAATCATAGAAAATTGAGAGAGATAAGAATAGGAGGTAATTATATTTTGTACCACCAAAAAAATATAATAGTATTTTGTACTGTTATCTATCTAGATGTCGAAGACGAGCAGGCTAGTAGGAGACCGTAGCGATAACGTACGTAGTCGAACAAAGAATAATAATTATTAGTTTATGTGTATTATGCTCCCATTAATAGCCCCACCTAGGCACAAACACCTGTACTTTCACTTTCAACCACCAGCGATCAACCTTGTACAAACAGTGGCGCTCAAACAGGCGCGTTTGCTGCTGAATCCGTCTAGTGGCGTGCAAAGGTTATCACCGCAGGTGACCCGTCGGACTTAGTGGTATACTGGTATAAACCACGTATGCCTGTAATGTGTTGTTATTGTTGTTATTGTTTTAACAACTACTATACACTTATTAATTATTATTAACAATATTAACATGTCACAGCGTTAAATATTAATTGTTGGAATATTGCAATTGCATTTTCCCTACTCTCCTGTGAAAGTGTGAAAACGCGTCACCGCGATCCCGTCCGGTCGTGCCGTATTCCCCTGCCGTCCAGTCGTCAATTATCGTTGTCCGGCAGTGCGTTCTCGTCCGTCAGTCTCAGTCAGTCAGTCAGTCGGTCAGTCGGTCGGTCGGTCGGTCGTTTTCTCAATTCTCATTATTATTATATTAACGTCATAGATGTGGTCGCGCACCGCACCGCCTGCAGCCCAAACGACGGCCGTGAAAATTAGTGCGGCGGCGGCATCGAAGGCAGCAGCAACGGCAGCGGCAGCTATGACCTCCGTACCTCGGAGGTGCCGAACGTGCGTCGCGACCAGCTGAAACCCGACACCCGCTGCGGTACGATATTTTACGCGACCGCCGTGCGTGTGCGTATTCCGCGAGCGAGTACACGACGTCGGATAAAATATAATAATAAGGACAATATATACCTATTGGTATATTACGATCAGTTGCAGCGGTGGCGGTTGTCGTCGTCTCGCTCCCACCGGTGCAGTGATATTATCTTAGCCCGCGATATATCGTCGTTGGCGGGTTTTCGTCGTGCACCCGAAGCTAAAGAGGCGACGCAAGTGCCTTCTTCTGTGGTCTGCGGCTGGACATCGGCGAGTGTATAGAGGTATGTACCCTACGTCACCTGCTCACGACAGCAGTAGAGCTGATGTGTATAATAGTTGTAGTACCTACGAACAGCGTGGGAACGAGGCGTACTCTTGACTGCCTGTCTGTACGTCCAACATAGTCTCAAGCGGTTCTATAATAATTGTAGTGCGCCTCGATTGGCGGCTCACGCTGTCGATGCACTTCTGATTTTTATTAATTTTTCGTCCTTGTGACATTTTGTTCGCAGCACCCCTATCAATTCGGCTCGCACACAGTCACCATGGGCCTCCTGTTTTCAAAAATATGGAGTTACTTCGGCACCGAAGGTAAATGTTTTTAAGCGCCGTCTCCACACGACCGTCGATTCAGGTGTCTAATAATTTAATGTTTTTGTATTGTCGCAGAGCACAAAATCGTCATCATTGGCCTAGACAATGCGGGCAAGACTACCATATTGTATCAGTTCCTAATGAACGAAGTCGTACATACTTCACCGACTATTGGCTCAAACGTTGAAGAAGTTATATGGAACAACATACATTTCATAATGTGGGATCTGGGTGGACAGCAGTCCCTCAGAGCTGCTTGGTCCACCTACTATTGCAACACTGAGGTATACATTAAGCCATAAACTCCGCTTTCAATCTTGAGATAATTTTGATAATATGTAAATATTTGTCATAGGCTAGTAGGTGTTTATAATATTACATTTCTATTGTAATTAAAATAGTAGGTATAATCATGTTTTTAAGATAGGTATTAAGAGGATGCTATTCATGCATTTTTTGACTTTGTCAAACACACGTTTGAGTGTATGATATAGAAAATTTTTGTTCGCCGTTTTCAATAGTGCTTCTAGTTTTGTTATTAGAGTAAATTGTTCTTTAAAAGGATGCTACACATGCATTTTTTATCTTCATCTTATAAACATACAACTATAATAAAAAAGCTTAGCACAGATAATTCTTACCTAAAAGTTTAATAATAGGGTATTAAGAGTATTCACTAATAATAGCTTACTAAAAAAGATGCTAGAACAGCAAGATTACGAAGATAAGTTATAGACATTTCAGTTTAATATACTAAACTAAGTATGTATTATCAGAAAAATATTTTTAACTTATTGTATGTGCTGCTATTTCATATAATATACCTAGTGTGCAAGTTAACTTAATTTAAGTGGTACCTTACAAATCTATTTATAATAAATAAGGTTGTAAAAATATAGTTTCATTGGAATCGCAGTAGATTATAAGAATAATAATACCCATAATATCCCTATTGCAATAGGAATGAAAGAAACCTAAAATTGCAAATATTTGTGTAATCCCATTTAAATATTTATGTAATTATGTTCAATCCTAATGTTACACGCTTGTGTCAGAAATAAACTAAAATTTCAGGACACATTTTTAGTACCTACATGTATACTTACTACTCGCCAACTTACTAAAATACCTATATCAAAAATCTTTTGAAAAAATAAAATCATTTACATTTTGGTAGTATTGTAAATTAAAATCCATTTTAATATAATGTATTTTAATTACGGTTATCTTATTCAAACAATTATTCATAGATATTTCAAATTTGGTGTTACAAATTTTTGTATGATTTTGATACCTAGTAGATATTTATTTTTATTTATTTATTTATTTATTTCAGCAAAATCAATATCATTATTTCAATACAATAATACAATAGTCAAATTACAAAAGTTAAAATAATACAATAATAGTGATAAGAGCTGATACGTATACCAACTGAGCAAGCTCGTTTCTGGTATAGTCATATATTACTTGTATATTCTAAACATTTACATTTACAGTAAAAAAATGGTTTTATAATTTTTTAATTCCTTTTTATCTTCAAAAAAACATTAATTTTTGTTTTTTACATACATTATATTTTTAATTTCTACTTAAGTGCAATTTATGTATTATTCAATTTGCTAAATCATTTATAAATTATAATTGTTGATTAAACAATAGTCAGATCAAGCACATGTATAGGTATTTATTTACTTATTTGGTTGCTGGTCAGAATATATTATATAATATCATGGATGCCATTTATTCTCTATGTGGTCGATCTAACTATTATTTAATAATTGCTATATCAAATCAATTAATAAATGTGTGATTAAGTAGGTAATGATTGCCAATTATATTTGGCCATGTCATCTTAATAAATTGTTAATAAGGGATCAAGACTCAAGAGTGATAGAATAAATATTTAGGAGCTGTGCATTTGACCTTCATTTATTTCATATTCAATTCAGGAAGTGTTGAAAAAAACTTGTTCTATACTAAATAATATTTAATATTTAAATTATAATACAGTGTATACTGTATAGTAGGTATTTACGCACTAATACTTCCATATTGAGTAGCATAATAATTACATGTTAACTTACAGTACTATTTGTATTAAAAGGTAAAATCAAGACAAATTCTACCATTGAGCATATTTTAAGGTTTTTGATCAATTCATTTTACAACATGAAAATCAAAATTGTTTATAATTCGTTTATAAAAAATATCCAGATGAAATACTCGTATAATACTTCTATATCTATCAACTGAGTTGAAATTTTATTTGTTTCAGATATGTTTTAATAAAAATTAGTAGATACTTAATGATATTACTCGTATGTTTGTTTCAGTTTGTAATAGTGGTCATTGACTCAACAGATCGCAGTCGTCTGGATTTGAGTCGTGAAGAACTTTATAAAGTGTTGAACAATGATGAACTATCTTCAGCTGCGATTCTTGTTTATGCCAACAAACAAGACATGAAAGGTGCATTAACCGCTGCAGAGATTAGTAAACATTTAAACCTGACTTCCATTAAGAAACAACAGTGGCATATCCAAGCTTGTTGTGCTTTGACTGGTGAAGGGTAAGTGATTACATTGATAATATTGTACCTAATATAATTTTAAAAAATATTGATACTATTTATCTTGTAGATTGTATCAAGGGCTAGAATGGATATGCAGTCAATTGAAGAACAAATAAACGCTTTTATTGTTATTATTTTTTTATATGATAATTTGTAAAATTCCTGTTGTAGATAATCAAATGTGTAAAAAATATATATTAATCAAAGTAAGTATAAATTATTGAAATATATTAAAAACAAAATGTAAATAGTATTTTAAAGTTAAAATAATTAATAACTATTCTGTATAATTTGTTTGTTTGTTTTTTTTTTTCAATTTCTGGTTGAGTTGTGCCATTTAAATGTCTGGTTAATATATAACTAAGGTTATAAATAATACAAATAGAAATAATTTGATTTTCCAAATCTAATTTAAGCTGGGAAACAATTCAATATATTCTTTGTTTAGGACTTGTGTATCTACAAAACCTTATAAAACAAATAAACTACTGAATAATCAAACATAAATTTATACCTGAACATGTTCAGTGGGGTCAATTATCTTCTTGAAGAATAAATAAAAATAAAAAATAAATACCTAGAATGAGGTTTATTCATTTTTCTTTTTTTCTTCTGCAGTTCAAATTTTATCTGGACACTTATTGTTTTAAAACATAGATAATATGGGTTACCTACACAATAAATACTTTGTTTTATCAGTTTAATTCTTGGGCGGTGATCACCCATTCAAGTATAGACAAGGAGGAGCATCTTGACAGCAGTACCAGATGGTTTTTGAAATGTACACAAGTTCACTCTGCTACATCAGACATAAATAAGATGAACCTCGAGTTAACAATATTAATGCAATAATGCCGATCGGTACCAACAACAATCAAACTACACAATTTTGAACTTATAGTATTCAATACTCGCCTGCCTGTAGTGGTTTAAAATAGACTAAATATTTTATATTAAATTTGACAGTATAATATTCAATCTTTACAATAAAATATTACTGAAATCTTTCCATTATTCTACTCTATCTAAAAACATTACAATATGTTAGTACAATATTATATAGTTTTGTGGAACAAAAAAATATAGTCAATGTAGTTAAAATGAAGATACCTACTACCTATAATTATTATATATTAGTCTATTAGATTTTGATTTAGGTAGGTTGTAGGTACCATCATGGCTATTTATATTTAGCCATGGGTACCATGATAAGGGGGCGCAACAATTTTCCCTTATGTGATATAATAGTATGTTCATAGGTGAAATTTCAGTTTTTGAATTTGATGGGCTTTACATATTTAAATGAAATACACCAGTGGTTGGCTCTGCCCTCCACACCCCATGTTAAAATACTTTTAAAATACATTACTTCATAACTTTATTTTAATATTATACAACATTATATATATTTTTTTCTTACCCACTTTCCTATATTTAATGTACATATTATAATTATGCATTTACCAATTACTAAAATGAAAACTATTTTTATTAAATCAAATTATAACACTTTTACATATTATATTATAATAATTGTAACCATCGATTCAAATTTGAAAATGTATACATATATATAAAAAAAAAAAAACTTCTATCGAATATTGACTATATTCTAAACAAATTAAAATGTTATCAGTAATTTATTAAAATTATTAATTTGTAATACTATTATAGTATTATTGAACCTATATGGCTATATTATGTTCGGTGGATACAATTATCTACTATGGAAAACACACAAATAATGAATCATTCTTTAAACTTTATAACATAATTTATTCAAATATTTACTCTATTGGTATATTAGATAATTAATAAAGGATTCTTCAATTGAAATTTGGAGGGTCTAAATTTAATATTGGAGGAACTTAGCACCTCTAAGTTCTCCCCCAAATTTCGCCTATGAGTATGCTATTAGCTATTATCATTATTATTATATTATATCAATAGGTACAATAATTTTAATTACTTTTATTTGTTACTGGCATTATTATTATAATTATCATTACTTTGTCAATGTAGGTATCTATAATCTCCTGTTATTTAATATTTTGTATTCAGTATTCACTGCCATCTGACAATATAAATTATAAAGTAATTCAAATGTTCATTATTATAAATATCAAAGCTATTTAATTATACACTGCGGTTGTTTAATATTTATAAATAATATATTATTAAAATTAAGGAAACATTTTACGACTTTTGAATTTTAATGCTAGAACTAATTTTAAAGACTTAAAAATGAATTTCTGTTAAATCAAATATTATTTGTGTATTATAAGTTTTTCACATTTACATCAAACTTTTTTTTATACATTTTGATCATTGACTTGTTACGACAAAAGGGTGAATTGAAATTTAAATAATAATTTTTAAATCAAAAAAGTGGACTATAGTTTTTATAATTAATAAAGGTGCTCTGCTGTACAGTGAGTTACAAGGGGGTCACTATATAATGGATGGTATTAAATTTGAATTCAATGATATAATATCATTGTACAAGAAAAACGATTCTGAGCGGAGACGGATGTCAGTCTACGTATAAGACATATTATATACTTACCTATGGTATTAAAAAAATAAGACCTATAATAAATTCCAAATTAATCATATCACAATATCCATTAGGTACTTATAACGTGTTATACATCAATAACAAACCGTGATAATATCATAGATACATAGTAGTATACTTTAGAAGTTTCAATTACCCACAAATAATATTATACAATCATAACAAAATAATTAAAATAGTTATTCTAGGTTTTTTATTATGTAATTTCGTCCAAATTTGAACTTAAAATGACTATAAAAATAAACTGTGCTTATGTATTTTTCAGATTTTTTGGTAACAGAATATTAACTAAGTGCCTACGTGGAATCTTGTTTTTGAATTTTCAATCCTTAGATATAAAAGTTGAACATTTTATAAATTTTTAACTACAAAATAATTATTCAATTTTAAATTTCATACATTTTGTCAAAATTCGATCTTTAAATGCTTATAAAAAAAATTAAGTGAATACTAGGGTACTTATTACAAATTCGTGGAAATCATAATATTATTGTTGTTGTATGTCTAGCCGGAGACACTGGAATTTCACGTATTTAATTTATATATTTTGCAATCAAACAAATATTATAAAAATTATAATTTGAAAAATGAAAATATTATTATAGGTACTATAATTAATTAATATATCTTATACATATTATAATATTTATTAAATGGTAAATAATTTGAACGTCTTAAAAATCAATCAAATTCATTAAAAATATAAACGTCGTTCAGATTCACGTTCTATTTGCAAGAACCGAGTAACGTTCACTATAAATGAACCTGAACGCGTGAACGTGCGTTCATAAACGACGTTCTTTCCCAACACTGCTTATAGCTAGTTATATCTAATACAATATTTAATTAAATTTACTAGGTCATCACAATTTTGGTACGCCGGCGTATCTGAAATTCTCAATCCAACATTCGTTTACGAAGCGCCTGATTTTGAAAAATCCTTTGTCACCCCAAGAAGTTCCCCATGAATTAGCTAACAACCAGTACGCGTGTACTCCTTCCAGACCCCATCCGATCATCCGAACCGACAACAGCCCCAAATAATCACCGGTGACATGATGGTAAACACCTGTTGTACAAGTAAAAACTAGATTAATCTAATATTCTAATAATACGCATAGGTAACCATGATATTACCTAATATATTATTATTTGTCATTACTCATTAGTCATTAGTTATTAGGTAGGTACTCATTAGGTAACGACTGCAGGGTTGGGAATAAAATCATTATTCTAGATATCTGCAGAACTTATCTGGATTCCGAATTTTGTATAATCATATTATCTAAGTTTATTTAACTCACCATATGTTATTTTTTAACCGAGTTAGATGTAGGCTGTTTCAACGAAATATTGAAACACAAGGAAATGTTATATTTGTTTAAATAATTTAATATTGGTAATAAGTAGGTACCTATAAGGCTATACCTACTTAATACTTATGCACTATTAAAGGTTGTTACTCGTTAATTAATTACAAAACAATATAGAAAAATAGGTTTGAGTGAAAAACGTAATATCGTAATATAGGTCATTATATACCCAGATTATAGGTACCTTTTTTTTTTCTGAGTTAATTGAGGGACGAAAAAGGAACTTCAAGGATGGAGGAGGAACCTCAAATTATAGGTACCTAAGTAAAATATTAATATAATATATTAGTACATTACGTAGGTATTAGGTAATATACCTATAGGTATCTATGTATTATATTGTAGTATTTAATTTATAATTTATACCAGATTTGTAAGTGAGAAAATCTTCGTAGACTCGCATCGTGACTACGTATGGGCCGTGTTTCCTCAGGTTTTTCCTCGCTGAGCACCCGTCGAACGTAAAAACTTTCTTGGCTGTCACGAACAACAAACATAATATGTACTATATACTATTCGCGGTAGTAATGTTATCATGCTAAATCACTGTCTTCCGAACCTTTGATGATGTCGTCCAAGTATTTTCCCTCGTATCGTGCGTTGTAGCAGCTCAGATCACATTTCGGAGTGGTTGCCGGGTCGCCACCGCACATGCCGTGTGGACCGAGCACCGTACTTGGATCGGCGGCCGTCGTGGATGCGTTGCACGGCTGCACAAGCCACGGTTGACAGCCCTATTAATATTTTAGAGAAGATATAAGGAGACATTTTAGTATAATGAATAATGATCATAATATTATTATGATCGTGGCGGTCTCGGTTCATAAAATTCTTTTGATAATAGTCATACATGCGTCCATGCGTGTCTCTTACTAGGAAAGAATATGTTAATATGCTTTGGCCGATTTTCCTATATATTATTTAAAGTAGGTATTAAAATACGATCTCAGACGATTATACATTAAAAAAAAAATTTATTTTTTAACATGGTTTTTTTTTAAAACTTGTGCTAAAATGAAAAACTTAATAGTTATTAAAGAATACCTTTCAACTAGGTATTTAATATTACTTAGCGTTATATTATCTATGCGAGACAGTGTTTTACTTTCCTCATCTCAATAAAGTGGCTAATTTTTGTATTGTCATGTCATAAAATGATGAATGTTTTTATACACCACTATTTTATTTAAGAGTAAGGGTAGATAGTTCTATAGTAGTATTAAATAGCCGATTCAGAAACCTGCTCCTGCTCATCTGCTCTCTGATCCTTCTCCTCCCTGAACCGTTGTCATTTGTCCTCCACCACTGAACTAAGCTGTGAGCACACCAATTCACCATGCCTTGATGCCTTGGCGGGCTATGGAGTAGGAAGCAGATGAGCAGGAGCAGGTTTCTGAATGGGCTATTTAATACTACTCTAGGGGGGAGGCGGAGAGGGGGCGAACACACCAAAATACCAACTTTATTTCAAATATTATGTTTCACCTAGGAAACTTTATATTTGTGAATTCTAAATATACAGGTTCCCAAATCTTTTGTAAAATTAATTTGAACGTCTTACAGATATGATACGCTTATAAACATGATTACCTCGTTGCTCCCGTAGTCGCCACCAGTAACGATTCCTTTTCTTAGTATATATCTCCACGCGGCTGCAGTATATCCTCCGCTGCATCCGTTACCACAGTCGTCGCAACAGGAAACTAGTTTTTGCGGCGAATAAAGTGCAGTGATGTTACCCTGGGATGCGATACATATGCGATCGTTCATCGCCGATGTCACAGAAATCGCCTGAACGGATATAATAGTTTTTTTTAGGTTAAATTTTAATAAAGTAGTAGTGATGTTAAATCACTGTCAATTACGTATTCTAAATATTGAATTTTTTATTCATTACCGTCAACCGTGATAGTGTAACACTACTAAATACTAATGGTTTGTGGTGAAAACAATTAAAATATGTCCTAAGGAATAATATGAAGTTTGTCCCTCACAAAACTAATACTGAAGGCTGAAATACTTAATGAATATATTATATAGTATATTATAAAAGAATATATTATAAAAATATTATTTACAATGTGTCCCGCGTGAAGACTTGACCGAACGGTGTCATTGTATAGGTTTTTTTCATAACCTAAGGTATACATGTCATATAACGCCGGTCGGTCATATCTTCATGATTTATTGCAAAATATGTTTATATACTCAATGGTATTATGTAGGTACACCGTACACGTCTGTAGTTTCATTGTAAATTTCTCAAACAATTGTTACAGACTTATAATACGCATTGATTTATACGTAACCTTCCCTAAAATTGTTTTCTAATAATACGCATAATTAGCACAATAAAATGTATTTATTTGAACATAATATTTTAGTAACCATTGACAAAACATGAAAAATAATATAATCAATATTGTATCCATTATTAATTTTAAGTACCTATATAAATTCCGATTGTATTAAAATATTTATTCAAATGCTGTGATGTATATTATTTTAAAGTAAAATAAATCACTTATTAAATTTATTTGTGAGCATACCTACTCAAATAATTAAAAAAAAACAATTATCTGAGCATAATATATTATATATATAGGTACATTGATTCATACGTTCATAAAAGTCATTATGGATCAGAAATCACGACTCAGTTTTTTTCTTAATAATGTGCAATTAATAACTAATTTTGATCAAAATATGGAGATGTTGATTAGTGGTTGCCCACAGGTATTTATGTTAATTGATAGATATTTTTTAAAATAATCTATATTATATTATGTTACTAAACCATAAAAACATGTTAGTTGAATTCAAATGGTAGGTCCCTATTGGTTTTAATATTGATTATTGGTACATTTTATTATTTATAATAGGGAGTTAAATAAAATTCAGAAAAGTGATTAGTGCATTTATAATACTATACGTATTACTGTATTAGAATCAGTAATAATATTAGATTTTTTTCATATAATATAACCAAATGTAGGTATACAATCAATATTACTCATATATAGTTAATACTTTAAAATTGTTTAAGATATTTCAATATATTTATAGTAAATCAATTTACAATATATGAATATTGACAATGTTCTAAACAATAATCTTATTTGCTGTAGATTATTTATAATATTATCTTTAATTACCTACTTGGTGTAAAGTTTATTTAATAATTTATTTTTAATGATAACAATATAAGTTGAATTTATTATACTTTATTATATTATTATTTATATGTAGGTAATATAATTTATAATTTATCTTTAATTGACATACTTGTACATTTCGGTGATATTTTTTATTTCGGAATATCACCTATTTTATTTATTCTTTTTTAGAAATACTTGAAATATTATAATATTTTATCATGGAGTGTATGTTTTCAGATATTCAGATTTGTGATATCAGATAGTCATGTGAGTGAACTCGAGTGATCGCGACTGAGTTATAATCTATATCATAACCTTAATAATGGTACAGTTCATGCATTTATAAGGGGTGGGTATATTTTGATAAATCCTCTCGAGTTTTGTCTCCTCAGTGGAAAATCACAAATTGTATCCCCCCACTTCGACACATCTCAGTGGTAATAAGACGTGTTGGTAGGTACTTTACGTTTCGATTGAAAATAATTTTTCGGAGATCTACTCTTCAGGTGGCGAATAGGAAAAAATTCGCTACAACAGAAAATCCTCTCTAACAATAAATCCGACGAACCAAAAAATTTTGGGTCTATGTACTCTGTACTCTATTTGGTATTAATATATCGTACCATCAATATATTATTATAGAAGTTTTCTAAAACTATATTGTTTTAGGACGTGTATGATTCACACCCAGGTCCGACTTTAAGTATATTTCACCACCTGCTGCGATATTAGAACATTGTCCATATCTATATCTATGATCAATATCCCCTAATTATCCACTTAAAACTTCCGCCCGGTGCGGACGAACCGCTTGCCATTAGCCATCCCCGTTCACATTTATCTACGTTCGAGGCGTACATATCATATAATTTTATTAGTATAATAGATAAACAAGTTTTTGTATACCCAATCGGCCGCACAGTTGCCTTGATTCCAGATGTGCGAGATGGAAGTGCAATTGAACCAATGGTATCGGGCATCGAAAGTTTCAGGAGTTACGTTTGCTTCTCCGCCATCGTCTTCGTTGTCCTTGTCACAATCGCCACCCTTGACTGGAACCCCATCGAATGTCTCGTGCTCCAGACCGATCCACTCGGGATGGTAAAAAGTTCCCACCAACTTCTTGTGGTCGTTTGTATGAAAACTGTTTATTCCGGCCTGAACGGAATAAAAATATTACGACTTACTCAAATGAAGTTACACAGTAGGTGGTAAATCGAAAATAATATTTGACGAACAACGATATCATTTTAACTCCTAATATACCGCCGAGAATGCACGCAGTGGTATATATAGGCATACAGCTTATTCGTTTGGTCCCAAGTTGCACAACACGGCATATATAATTTTAAAAACAGCTATATTTTCAGTTTATAATATTTTTTATGCGAATGGCAATAATATTATAAACTATTTTAGTAACTAGTTATTCGTGAAACTGAAGTTTTTAAGCACAAAACTAGACAAAATCTTCAGAGTTTTCAATATAATATCATTAAGATTTTTTTTTTAGTTTTTATTAGACTAAAAACGATTTTTCATTAGAAACCAAAAATAAAAAATAAAAATTGTATAAATTAGGTAAAGAGAGTTTGATTTCGTATACCTACGGTGGTACCATCCGTAATAATTGGTTTCATAGAACATCTAAAAATGTGCAGGGTATCGTTTGAAATTGTCATCGTTAAACTTTCATACCATTTTTTATATTATAAACTACGGTGGGATATTCTTAGTTCTTACCTGCCATGTCACGTTGTTGGCGTTGTTGACGTGTGTGACGATTTTATGCAATTTATCATTAGCGTCACACGTCAACCAAAAGCTGGATACGAACAGCAAGATGATTTTCATTGTGGTGCCCACCGTATTGCTAGGCACTTTATATTAATTAATATTAGCTGCGGTCGGGTATTAATCGGGTATTAATTAACTATCGTATTGAATCGGGTAAATTTCGAAATGTGCTTTTTTTTTATCGGCATTCGAGTGCGAGGGGTACCGACAATATTGGCGTTATCACGAATGTATTGTCTGTCATAAAAACTACGTGTTAAAGTCAAGTTGTAACGTGTTTAGTCGATTTACCCGAAGAACTGCGTGCTTGAGCCTATAGAGTCGGGCTCTTATACGTGGTTTTTAGACGGCGTTTCTTGAGTTTTTGACGGTCGTTAACTTGTGAGAATGTCGTATTGAGAGAAGAAGAGTTGTTTACGTACGATACATATATCTACATTATTTTTAGCAACTCAAAAATGTTTGTTTAAGAAACCAGTGATTAAATAAAAGCAAGTACTTGACCGAGTACCCATTATAATATAATCTTTCTTGTCAACATTTATCTGTTGTCCAATTATTAAATATATAATATTATTTTCGTACATTAAAACTCTGTGTGATTACTATGACCTTGAAATGTAACTGTTGATTGCGAGCGGTAATACTTAATTTAAAAAAGAGAGTTGAATCAAAAATAAAAGGAAAAAGGATAATGATGGTAATAATCTGTTACGAACAATTGTTTAAGGAGGACATACAAGTAGATGAAAGAATAATAATAAACTATAATGGATTTAAATTTAACAATCAACATTCAAAGATAATTTTATATTTATTTTAGAATATAATTTTTAAGTGCAGATTATACTTAACGTATAAAATATAATAGATATGTTGATATAAAATATCTTTTTGAAAGATTCACTTTATGTGTGTACATATTAGCGTATAACGATTGCCAAGGTAAAAATGAGTTATATATGTATTCAGCTATTCAGGTATTCTAACCTACTTATAAGGTACTTAGTATAAGTACTAAAAATGTATTTTTAATTTTTAAAACTATTAGATCAGACATTAAATATGAAACATTTGAATTTTAAAACAAAGTAGATATAGTTTATAAATAATTTCTCACGTTAGTTTATTATTAATGCATTTTTTCTAATTATCTAAAACTGACTGCTCTCAAAAACAAAATACTCATAATACATTGATATAAAAAATTATGATCGGTTTTAATCAATCAACAAACGTGTTTGGTGTTACTTACTGTCATTAGTTATTACCATGGCTCTTAAGTTCATGCATTTTCATATCAATCTTGCTAAGTCGTATTTATTGCTAGATGGCATAGACATCCATTTCAAGGTACCATGGTTAAGTATGTGAAGTTTTATTTCGCATATTTTTGCATATTTAGAGGTTTTTTTTTGCATATTTGGCATAATTAATTATGAGTTTTTTTATTTCATTGGAAATATTTGATCCAAATATGCACCAGTTAAAATGTCGAAATACCTATGCAAAAATATCTATTAAAAAGTTTCATTATTTAATTCATATTACAACTATACGCGTTATATTATTATGCTCGGAATATATAGGTATAATGCGATATTGCTATCTATCCATCAAATTCTTATTAGATTTTCGTATATATAGTTAAAATGGGTGACGATATATTAGGCTTCCGGTCTAAGGAAAAATACGTGTGAAAATAATATAATAATATTAATACAATCATACCACTAGTTGTTTTTTTCGTGGCTGAAAATTCAAATTTTGCCAGTCGTGTTATACCATGGCGCTAACAGTTGTTATTTGTTAATAACAATATTGTCTATTTAAATAGGAATCGTGTGTATTTAATTTAATTTAATAAATTTAATATAACAATTTAATTTTTGATTATCACTCTCGTAAACTAAAAAGTTTCCAGGGACATCTCATGGACGGCAAACGCAAAAGAACTTCGGCCGACAACGGGGACCACGTCGAAAACAAGTTGAAAAAAATCCATCGTTACAAGTATTTATTCTCAGTTATAGCTCATGCCTCGAGAATCCGAAAGTCTCTACAATTATATATAGTCTGTTAACATGTCGAGAATTTGTTCGTTGGTTTTACAAACCACTTCAATTTTGGGAGCTTAAATCACATGTTCTTCCATCCATTGGCTAGTTTTCTTTGAAATGTCTTATATTCCTTTGTAGAACTTTTGCAATTAATTCATCTGCTCCTGAAACGGAAGTGGCGATCTTTTATCATGTTTGCCGCAGTTCTTAAAACTACTCGCATATTCTTTGCGAGTCTTAAAATTTGAACATAATTGATCATGGATATGATTTTTTAAGGCAAGCATTAATTTCGTCACTTTTTATAACTCTTGTTACAACTGCAGTTACTATGGAAATATTTGGCGAAAGTCTCCCACGAACATCTTCACTATGACACCTTAGCAATTTGTTAAATTTAAGCTTGCAGCCCCTTATGGTTTCCAAAATAAATATTGATAAACGATATTATAAATTCGTGAGAAGATTAATTAATAATCGTTTTCTGAAATTTTACGATTTTCTTAATTTTTCTTTCCGTAACAACTTTCTACACAACATAAGAAAACTTATAAAAAAAAAATTATTTTTATTATTATTTGTTTATGTAGCTATGTAATATGTATATTATTATTTTATTGTTTATTTATAATACAGTTGGTTGAACTTTGTCAATGACAAATATTATATATTTTATGATAATTACCATAATATTACTAGCTTCCTGTTATTAACTTATACTTAAGCATTTAATTCTAAATTAATTTCTGACATTAACCTTTTAATTTAAGACAGTTTCTTTATAACTATTACTGGCAACTAACTCACAGTAGGGTCTAAGGTCTAACGGTTGGGTTTACAAAATAGAGATGTGAGTTTGCATTATACAGTGGTATAAAATTGTATTATATGAGGTGTTATAATACATATTATGATCTGTTTTAGTGGAATCAAAAAGTTAGTAGGTATTTATTTATATGCTGTTTGCGGTAAATAATGTTGCTAAAATTCTAATTTATGTTTACATTTAAAACATAACTTAAGAAAATTGATTTGATAAATAATATTTAAGAATATAATTTACTATAAAGTCTAATTACAATATTTTAAATTAAAATTATTTTTAGATATATTTGATATATCAGGTTGGTATAGCATGACTACATATTAATTTATTCTAAAATTGTTATTGTATTATTGTGGTTTTTAAAATGTTTTCTGAAATTATCATGCCATTTTAAAATTGGTCATTATTAATAGGTTTCATCTTTGTTCTATTTCCGATAATTTAAGGTACAACAATATTATCTAACAAACAAAATAAAATATCGTATTTAGCATCTTTAGAAATAAAAACAACAATGTACAGAATGATGTAGTTTGTACGTATTTTAGTTGTTATGTAATGAATAATGAGTTATTTCCACTTCACGCAACTCATTTCATCTATAATATTCATTTCACAATAACTACTATTATAACTAATATCTATAATCTATATAATAGTACTATTATGTACCTAAACATTGTTATCCTAATATTAGAATGTTGATTTGTTCTATTTCCAAACATACTAATATCAATCTAACCATCTGCCAAGGATTCTAAAAACGAATTTGAATTTTTGTAAATTCTACTTGAAATCCAAATTTTTAAGCGAATTGGAAAATCAAAAATTGGCATTCAATCTTCTTTTTTCAGAAACATTATAACACTCTAATATCATTAGAAATATAACACTCTGAATAGTGAATCCCAACATTTCATGTCATAAAATCTCTACTTACAATACTATTAAATAAGAAATTTAATTTGTATTTATTTTCTTTTTAATTTTATCTTTATTTAACAATATAATGTTGGATAATATTAAATAACAATGCAATTCCTTGATACAAAAGAGAAGAAAAAAACGTCAGGTAATTATGGCATTTTGACAACTGACGTATAAATCACAACGGTAATCCAGCGTACATAAATTCTTCTATATAACATTCATTGGCACCTCGTAAAATTTTGGCAAATCCGTTATCACCCCAGTACGTGTTAAACGAGTTGGCTGCCAACCAATACGGCGTGCCGTTTTCTTCTCCCCAGCCTAGGATTTTAACCGCTTGAGTGGTAACGTATTTTCCAGAGTTGTATGCATAAACGCCTTGAACCGAAAAAAAAAACGCATAGTTTTGATGTATTTAAAAATAATAATGGTTGTTACAAATGTATAGATCAACAGGTTAGGTTAATGGTTGTTACAAATGTATAGATCAACAGGTGTATTCGATGGACCACGGTGTAGTGGATTGGCTATTTGCCACTCGATGTCGCAAGTTTCTAACACCCTCAAATGTTTTTACCTCCGGGTATTACAATTATCCTAGGATAACTTACTTTACCGTGGGTAAGATTAACCAAGTATATTTTTACTGGGGGTATAACAAATCTAGAATACTTTTACCCTCCTAATATTTTACCGCCATGGTAAAACTCTTCCATAGTGGGTAAAAATAACCTAGTATGTTTTTACCCCCATATGGGAGATATGGAGATATAGAAGAACCCGAGGAAATCGATTGTTACACCGACACTCGGTGTTTAGCCTTTCAGTCGGTTACTTGTTCCCGGATGGAATTATCTGAGAAAATTAAGAGGACGTGATACCCGCATGTGTTGTCTCCGTCTTACAAGTGCGTAACATACCAAATTGTACGCTCAGTAGAAAACGTGTTAGCTCCGTTGGTTAAAAAATTAGAGTGAATTGACCTCTTATAAAATTTAAAGGTAAGAATATTATCTAGGCAATATATTTTAATTTTAAAGCAATTATGAGAATTTTAAGATGTACAAACAATTTACAATTTTAAAATACTCCTAACTCGCTTTAAAATTAAAATATAATAAGAAGCATATGATATTGCTTAGATAATAATCTTACCTTTAAATGTTGTAAGCAGTCAATTTACCCTAATTTTTTAACTAACAGAGCTACACATGTTCTTTTGTTAACATTTGCTATGTTATGCACTTGTAAGACGGAGACAACACATGCGGGTATCACGTCCTCGTAAGCAGCCCGAACGTCATTAGGTATGTGTCATGTGTTTTAAATACTAAAAAATCAAATCTTTAAACAATAATAGTTGTGATAAATAAATAGATTAACTCTTAAAGTCTAAAATCTGTGGAAAAAAAATGAAAATCATGCATACCCGATTGATAGTTGACAAAGTCTTGGTACATGTAAAACGACGCCGTTATCGGACCGTTTTCATAAATTTCTTTCATCGCCGTATATCCTGGGACACGATAATGCGTTCCTATATAATGCAAGGTATGTTATATTATTATATTACAGGTACTTAAATAAAATAATTGAGAGTCATAACACTCATATCTCATTAAAAAATGTTAATCATTTTGCATCAATTTTACTATCATGTAGTTGTGAGCTACTCACTTACATGCCTTTCCCTAGTAAATTCGCAATTGAATACGAAAGTAACATAAATAATTATAAATAATAGGTACTAAATTATGATAATTAAAATAAGTTATTTCAAGTTGTACTATTTTTAGATTATAACAGGAGCTATTTTAGCTAGTACATGAGTATAACAGATATCTAGCGATAATTGGTTTTGCATTAATATGGAGATTTTATACACAAACAATTTTTGAGGCAGTGAAACTTTTTTATTATCATGCCAATATTATTTTGATTTGAAATAAAAAGGAAGGTAAACAGAAAGTACTCTCTAGAGTTAATATTTTTATAATTTCTAGAAAATTACTATAAACTCATATACAACTGTAAATATGTAAATATCAGCTTTTAAAAAATATTACTCCATTTTTGGACAAACTGAGCTCCGCTGAGATTCAGAATATTGTTTTAAAATGCGACATTTGTCACGATCCAATTGAAATAATACTCATTCCACTTGGATACATCGAGGTAGAGGTCAACATGTATAATAATATGTACCTATCACAACATTTTATTTTCAAAAACTAATTTGAATGTTAATTATATTATGATGATAATCATATTAATGTATACGAAATATAATTTTTATGTAAAAATTGTGTACCTTTATGGTTGTCGTTCACGTATCTCGTCCCATAGTCGGGATTATAACATTGAACCTTGCATTCTGGAGTGAATAGTGTCTTATTCGAGCATGCGTTTTCTACTGCAGTTTCAGTATGCTGGCATGGTTCAATCGTGTACGGTTGACATCCCTATAAAAAGAAAAAAACACATACCTGCCGTGTAACAGCGAAACAAGATGGTAGGTACCATAATAAATAATATTTTTTCTAATACAATAATATGCGTTTGTTAATACTTCAATAAGTTTCCTAAAAATGAATAAGTTAATAATACATTTTTTTATTATACCTCGTTCGAACCGTATTCACCTCCGGAAACCAATCCGTGTCTTCTGTAGAAGTCCCAAGATTCGAAATGTTGGCCTCCCGAACAGCCATCTCCGCACAGGTAGCAGCAGGACAATATCTGCTGTGCCGACAGTTTTGGTCTTACCGTTCCATTTGAATGGATGCATATCCGGTCACTTACGGCTGACGCCACGGAAATAGCGTAGCTCGACTTGCAGTTACCCTGGTCGTATATCTGTCCAATGGACGGACACATGTACCATTTTGCTCTTGCGTCAAAGCTTTTTGGCAGGTTCAAAGGATCCCAAAAACCGCTGTTCTATACAGATAGATTAAATAAATAATAAACGTTAATTTGACGCTACTGTATTGTTTCACTTTAGGTATGTATACAACAGTCACAAATCCACTAAGGTATATATTTTACCAGTATTCTAATATATGTATATACTATTGTATATTTATTAGACTCTTAATACGTAATATATGTTTAGTCTAAAGATGAGGGAGTAAAAATTTAATTTAAATTATCAAAATAAATTTTAAATGTTAAGTTATTTCTATAAATTTAAATACCTATTATGTTTTAAGAAAGTATTTTTTAATGCCGTGATTTATTAATAGAACATCCAACCCTCCCTCATCCGTGTGTACGTTTGTGTACGTCACTGCTCACTATATTCCTATAGTATATACTCAATATTCTTTACAGACACTTTACCAAAGCATGACATTGTGTAAAACAAACAAAATTATTTACTTCGGCTAACACCTGAAATGTAAAATTTATCTGTGACAGCAAAATTTCACGTCGTTGAGTTATTTTGAGATAACGAATATTAGATTATGCATCGAGTGGTTATGCTAATTTCGAAGGACCACAGGTTTTTTATTTGAGACTTGAGGTGTCGATAATTCCAAATTATTAAGGTTCGAGTTACCATGACTCGCCTGCAGTACATATATAATGCTTATTAGTTTTTATTTACATACCTCTGTTTTCGTGGCACCCGCTGGTACGTTTACATTTTTCAATAAATCATTTTTGTCGTTTAAAGATACGCACCGTTCGATGAGAACGATTATGCTCAGCAACAATACCAAAACGTTTACAACAGACATCTTGCTGTGGGTGAAATCAAAACGAGAATGTACCTACAAGTCTTGTGGTTTTGGTATTGAAACGTACTTCATAACATTGTCGATAAACAATATTCTGACTTCTGAAGCGCCAACTTATATATTATTATCAATTTAGGTACTTGATAAAAATAGGTAGACGTTGCGATATCTTTTTAGATAATTATAATTAAATTATTAATTAAAATATTATTCTTAACATAAACACTTGGTGTACAATGGCAGCGAAGTTTATACATACCTAGTTCTTCGACAAAATCGTCAAACCGTAATATTGTTGGTATTTTCCACATTATTATGTTCATGTATATATAGTAATTATTTATCAAATCCGATATCGAAGATTTTGGTGTAATTCGCTGTGAATTCGTAATAATGATATATTCGTTTTTCGTTTATCTCGTCCAAAAAATAAAGGTAAGTAAGTTTTTAACGAATCGTTTATCGCAGATTTCACAGAGGTCTGAAGTACCTTTTATAAGTGTTTACTTCAAATTTTTAACATACCACAATGATTATTCTAATTTAAATATATATTGTATTTAATTAATATAAAAATAATTCAGTTTTACACGTACGATGTTTCTTTCATGTCATTAACAAATCCAAAGTCATTGCATTGAATTCATTTTTTTAAATGTACGAATTTTTTTAAAACCAACAATTCAACTACTTAGCTTACTGAAATTTATATAATAATAATTATTATCATATAGACTTGATTAAAAGAATCACTTGATAAATGTATTGATTAATATAATTGTGTATATTTGTATTTGGTAATACATATTAGATTCTGAATGGACTATGGAGCAATGAATGTATTGGGTTTTAAATGATATGTGTTAATTTTTTTTTGTATTTTTGTATCTGTCATAGATTTTGGATTTTTTAAAAACACTTCAAAATTTCTTCAACTTTCAACTTATCTTTTTTAGTAACAAATGGGAAATAGTTGGTACTGTGGGGAGACAGTAATTCCCAGTAGGTATAATCTGTATAAACTTATCATAAAATATCCTTAGAAGAATAGACTATCTTCAGTCTTCGGTCAGAACCGTTTCCGTATGATTAATCATATGATAATACATATGTTCTGTATGTTGAATTATCAACTGCATTATGAACATTTTCTTCTAAGCATATATGTTCAGGATTGTGGAACTGACTCTCAATATTTGAGGATAATTTCGAAATTATGACGAAAAAAACAATTAAATTTAATATAAAATATCTATAGTTACCTAAATAATTACCTACCCATGGATCATATTGTATAAGTATAATATAATATTTGTAAAAAAATTAATGCCCAAGGGTAAACATAAAAAATGCATAGTTTTGGTTTGTAATTAATGTAAGCTTAAAGATGAAAAATGCTTTAATTTTTGTTATATTTAGTATAATAATATATGCGTTTGGACTTCAAAATATATCACATATACTTTATGTAAAATCCATTATTGCAGAATAACTCAGACTATTTTATTAAAAAGTGTTTTTGAGGGTGTGCATACAAAGCGTATTCATATTAGAAGTGTCCTAAACTAATTCTGTATAGGTGGACAGTTACCTGACCAAACCGTTCATTGTATTCGAGTTTACATATTCACTTGAGCCTTGAGGTACATGCAACAGTATATCACTTGAAGGTTATTTGCTACCATTAATCGATCTTGGCTATTGAAATTACTATTGTTGTAAAAAAAACAGCAATTCTTTATAATACACTCGAATCAAATATTGTATATGGTATATCTATTGAGAGAAAAACTATAGACATCGTAAATTGTTCACATAATTCCGCGCGAAGTACGTATACATCATGAAACCTTTACACGACCGCATAAAACCGTTGATACATTTCTGCCACCTCTTTGGTATGGGGTTTTGTTGTGACGACTTTCAGATCGTTTATTTTCTATTGATAATCATTAATATGTCAGTAAGTATTTACATATACTACGAAATGTTCATTTTTGTCCAAACACATCTGTCGGAAATGTTTGAATTGTCTACAATAACGTCTGTGGTTCGACTGCATATCCGTTTTTTAGCACATCCGTTAATGATTGTATTTTTGTATGTCAAAAAGACGACCATTATGAACAACATAAGGGACTTTGATGATCTCGTCCACAGAATAAATGATGTCTCACTGAAGCCGTATATGATACACTTCTTCGGTTGGTTGTCGACCATCTTGGTCGCGGAACTCATACAGCTAATGACATTTCACTATCGCACTAATTTAAGATTTTTTACGATCTCTGCCACTGCTCAGTACGTTATCTCTAACGTGTGGCTTGTCACACCAGTTTTGATACACATTTTTCTCATCTCCTTGGTCTCCCACGGTATACGAGAAATCAACAACGACATAACCTCGATCAGAGCCTGGAGAACGCACAGCCTCAAATGGAAAGAGCTCCAACACGTGGGAGTAGTTCTAACTAACTCCGTGTTTGGAAAGATTATCATTATTTTTATAATGTTCACCATCATGGAATTAACCTTTTTCAGTTTTACGATATATTTAAGTTGGAGAAGTAATCATCATAATGAAATTGTTGCATACTTCACAATCCTGTTTGTTCGGGCTGGAATGATGTTTCAACTTTTCCGAACAAGCCATTGTTGCAAGATAGAAGTAAATAAATGATTCAAATAACGCATTGTTGTATATCTTATATTTAAAGGAAAATTGTTTTCGTTAACCACTAGCAGGCATTTCAATATAACCATTTTTTAAGTTAAACAATTTTACATGATGATCATTGATTAATTCAAATTATTTTAGATAGAGCAGATAATTTATTTTTAATTCCTGGGGCATAACTAGATTGTTAATAACTATATAATTACTAGTTAATTCATAAATAATTTGTTTTTATTTTCAATAATGTCTAATTTTTTTATTTTTAAGAAACAGATGAAACGGACACAAATACTTTTGAATAGTGCTGGTAAAACTACAGTGTCAGATTACAAAGAAGTATGTAAAAGTAAATTGAACAATTATATAATAGCTAGTTTAATTATACTTAGTTTCAGTTCACATCTATGTACATGCTGCACACTGATTTCAGTTTCATGCCATGTAATATTTTTGACATTACGTACAGAAATTTAGTAACTGTAAGTAATTATTAAGTTGTACCAACCTATAAGGGATTATAAAAATAAAAATTAATTTTTTTCTAGATATTCACCATAATTGCTGCCTACTCGATTTTTCAAATTCAGATAAAACTAGTTGTTTCAGATTAATGCAACTAAATTATATATATATATATATATATATATATAGATTAATATTTGTGTAATTATATAAACATATTATAATACCTAATTAATAATATATATTTTTATCATAATCAACTATACAACCTAATATACTAATTCAATACAATGTATTCTAGAATTTAGATTCTGAGTGGAGCGATGGATGTATTGAGTTTACAATGATGAGTGTGTTTTTTTTTCGTTAAAATGTCGATAAAATTTTTTTTTTTCTCTGGGTCAACAATGTTGACAATTTTATACAAGGTTCCTCATAAGTCATTAATATAGGAATTTAATATAATATTAAAGCTACATAACTACAATTATCTTTTATAAGTAATTCAACTTTTAAAGTTTATTATTATATTTTTGTAATTAACCGAAAGTTTAGTTTTCGATGACGGTTAAAGCTTTGAAAAGCGTTCTTTTTCCGTTCAGTGGGCTGTAAAGTAGGAATCCCCATAGAGCCGGGCGGTAAAGTGGAAATCCCCAAAAGTGCTGAACTCGCATATCACGGGTATCCGCTGCACAACCAGACACTAAAATTTATACCACGGTCCTTATAAAACATACATTTTTGGTTACATTCTAATATCTTGTATTCGTACTATAACATCCATGCATGACGCTCAAAATAAATAAAACCAAATCGTTTCTTTCGTGAAATTGTTTTCGAAGAATAGTCGTATGGTTGTTGCATAGATACCTGCATTCCCTTTGCCGTGATCGATAGACGCAGAGTCGTGACAATGAATAGTATGTGAAGACAATTATTTCAGTCTTGGGTGAAATGCGGCTCGTGCCACACACGTCGTCCGAGACTGAAATTGCTGACTTCACTTTATATTATTGACACTGTACAACAGAGTGAAACCCACTTATCCGCTTTTTTTTAAAATCACAAAATTATATAAGCGCTCATAAAAAAATTACTTAGGATTCAAACTTTTTTTTTTTGAACTAACATCCTTATGCTTATAAACAGTTCAAAAATAGTGATTATATTTTGAAATTTTTTTTTGTGTTAAGGAAAAGACAATTTAAACATTCGGAGAAGATTTCATATGTCTACAGTTATTATTTTTATTTAATACTACAACAAAAAACAAAATTGAATTTTTCGAAAATTGATTTTGCATTAAAATCTAAGTTTTTCCTTAATTTGTTGTTTGTTTGTCTTGAAGCTTGTGAAAACTACTGGGGATTTTTATTGTTGAACCCTACCCCCCCCCCCCCCCCCCAAAAAAAAAATACAAAATAGATTGTTTCCTGGGTAAATTTCCTTCAAAAAAGATTCTGAAGTAGAAAATTGAAACATTTTTATTGCTTTAAAACGTGATGAATGACACAAAAAAAAAAATCATACATTGTAAATTCAATACTTTCATTACTCCACTATAACTATTTTTTCAATACTCCGCTCAGAATCTAAAATGTAAATAATTCATTTACATATTATTATAATAATTATTATCTATTATCTATTATAATATAATAGTTTAGGTTATATTATATTTGTTATTATTTGACATAATAGTTGATTAAAAATTAAAATATATAAATTAGTAAAATATAATATACTTATAGTTAAAAGTTATATATATTTCTCCAGATTGCTTCATGCTATTAAATTGCATACACACATTGCCGTGTTTAAACTAAAATCTTATTATTTTTATTAATTATTGGACTATTTTTTGGAAAATTTTGTTTTTGACAATTTTGAATAGAAACATTAACATTGAATGTTTTAAAAATATTCTTTCAAAATAAATGTTTGAAGACAAATTTAAGTTAAGTACTCAATTTGTGAACAAGTAATTTAAAAGTTAATTTATAGTTTAAAGGAGCTGTCAATTTGCGAAAGCAGCTACAAACGTTTAAGCCACATTTATTATATTTATTTACTTAACTTGTAACTGATATTTAAGTTAGTATATATTTTTGTATTATGTTTTCTTACAACAAAAGAAATTTCAACGATATATTTATGTATTTATATTAATTAATCCAATAGTAGTTAAAAATGTACCTATATAGTTTGGTTCCTACTTTATATTATATAAGCCATAATACATTTTTATTGTGCACTAAGGTGAGTAATGCGAGACGAGTTATCAATATCAAAGGCGTATTTGAGATATTTCGTTAACAGTAAGATGAATACGACGAAAATACCGATCATCAGTAAACCACTAGTAAATTGTAAATCCTGTGTTGTATCTACTGAAAATACTACAATACTGGTATCTACACTCTTATCCAATAATATAAAATTTAAATATAATGTCAATCCAATGTAGGATTAAATGTATCGACAGGCAGTGGCTCAGTCTACGAGGTGCTGCACTGCTGCTTTTAAACCACGTTCACAATGTAGGTAATACTATAGGTACCTACAGATAACTAGAAAAATAATTTATAAAATATGTTTCATATACTTATCGTGACCGCGTTCCACTGTGAAGGATACGTTGTACAACTTATACTGCAATCTGTTCACCCTATACTCCACTGACCAGTGAATAATCAATCATAGTATGTGCAGTGCAGCTAACCCACATGGCTTTGTGATAAGGACTTTCATGCACTAAAAAATCATCAAATATGCATTTAAAAATACACACTTATGCATCAAAAAATTAAAAATATGCTGTTAAATATGCCCCCAAAAATTAAAACACTAAAACTTATAGCTCTTAAAATTATATTTTTTCTTTAAATATTTAGTTTAAAAAGGTTTTAACTAGATTTATTTTAATTATTTACGTGCCGTTAGATTGGATAAGACGCGCCGCACCAATTTCCTTTTGACAAAAACTTTTGCCACGTAACACGAATCAGACTGTACCACGCTATACCGCTCGATACTCCACGCGATGCGCAACGCGCAGTGTGATCCCGACTTATAATTGTAATCTATCGTCTTTATGATAAATTATATAGGAACAGTTAAATTCAATAATTTTTGTCCTTGATTCATTAATATATTCACCGAAGCACATGATTTTCGAAAAACCTTCAAAATATGCATTAAAAACTTAAAATATGCTCTTATAACCAAAAATATGTCTTTTCAACCAAAAAATGTCAAAATATGCAAAAATATGCACTAAAAACTTTGAGCTTTTGTTCACAAATGTTGTGAAATGTATTGTGTACTTACTCTGCATAAGTTAAAGTTAACCAGACAAAATATGCGAATGCATGAAAGTCCTTGCTCTATTGATAAGGATAACAAATAATTTCTTATGAAAACATTTTTTTTTTTTTTGATTGTGCTCTTATGAATAATTATATTTATTTTAATTTTTATAACTTTACAATAATTATTATAATATATTATATTTATAATTAGAAAGAGTTGGTTACTAAATATTTTTTTATAAGTGTAATTTTTTTATGAAATTAATACGCAATTGTTAGTAGAACAATACAACATATTATTGTAATGTAGGTATAAATTTGAAATCCCATATTGTGTTATATCGTTTGCTAATTTCTAGTATATTATTTCATAAACTATATAGAACTTTGGGTTTTAACTTATAACACTGGTCTTCCGCTTATAAAATAATCTTCAAACAAACAATCATTGTAACCACGACGGATTTTGAAAAATCCTTTGTCTCCCCAAGAAGTGCCCCATGAGTTGGCAGCCAACCAATACTGAACGCCTCTGTTTACACCCCATCCAATGACCTTTACAGTAATCTGACCAAGTAACTTACCAGTTACATGTTGATAAATTCCTGTAAATAAAAATGAAAATACAGTAATTTTATGGACAGTAATTTTTCCAAGATTAATTTTTATTTTATGTTATACCTGACTTGTATGTTAGGAAATCTTCATACACACGCATTATAGCAGTTGCAGGCCCATGTTTTTTCAATTCATTCCTGATCATTCCCGGACAATTCCAATCAATTCGTACTCCTAATAATACAAAAATATTTCAATATTTACAAAAAAAATTAGTTAAGGTATTAGCAAAAATATTAATTAATTATTTTAATCCGATTTCGAAAATCTTTTCATCAACCTACCTTTTGAAATGTCTTTTAGGAAGGGTTTTGAATATTTTGGGTTGTAGCAGTTTAATGTGCACTTTGGTGTCTCTGATTTATATTTTCCGCACATATATGATGGACTTCTTTCGTCCATAATCGTATGGTTACATGGTGGTATTAACCATGGTTGACAGCCCTATAATGACTCATTTTACTTAATTAGTTTAATTTATAAATCATAATCTATATTTTAATGACAACAGATGTAGTGAAAATATATTGGGTTCTTTTAAAAAATATTAAATTTATGGAATTAAAATTTTTTTATTTATTGGAATAAGGCTTCGACGACTGAGGTCATTAGGCTAATGGTCACGGGCTGTGAAGTTGAAAGGGTTGGCACTATAAGGTTGGAACGGTTGGTATGGTTGTAAACACGTGTATGTGTGGTAAGGATTTTGCGCACTACGAACTAGGGTCCCTATCCTGGAACTAGTGGCAGCTAACTCTCAGTTACGTTGTGTGACTGATAGCAGTCAACGCGCCGTGCCAAGTCACAACTTTAAAATTGTAAGCTTTCTTAAAATATCATTAAAAATAAAAAGAGAAAATAAGGAGTTGTACGATATATCATTCCAATCCCAGTTGGCATATTGTGGGAAAATGATTGCTAAGTGAAATAAATGTATCAAATCGCCTAGAAAATTTATTTCGTGTACTTAATATTGAATATAAGTTAAGAAAAATTCAAATTACTTCATTGCTACCGTAATCGCCTCCTGTGACCAATCCTCTTTTCATCCAATATTGCCACGCGGCTCCGGAATAGCCGCCATTACATCCGTCACCACAGTCATCACAACATGACAACATTTTTTGTGGAGAATAAAACGCGGTTATATTTTTTTTCGACTTGATACATATGCGGTCGTTGATAGCTGAAGTGACGGAAATCGCCTGAACACATCCATAATTCACCGTACACAAGTTTTGATAACAATTGTCACATTATTACGATATTTAACGAAACCGTAATCGAATTAAAAAAAAATACACACCCAGTCGGCAGCACAGTTTCCCTGGTTCCATATGTGACCAATAGAAACGCATTCAAACCATTTATTTCTGGCGTCGAAGTTTTCCGGCATATCGTTCGATCCATCATCCGCATCGGAATTATGGACCTTATGACCGATAATATCGATCTCTTTACCATTTTGTTGAAAGCCCCAAGTTCCAACTATGTTTTTGTAGTCAGACGTACCGAGTTGGTTAATTCCAGCCTACACATATAAATGTTATATCAGATGGTCCTAGCTGGTTTAGTCCAGCCCATATAAAAAATTAATTTTTATTAGTTGGTATGAACTCTGTGGACATATTTTATGACTTGTGTTCATAAATGTTGTGAAATATAAAGCTGAGACATTTTAATAATATTATTTCACTATAAGTATATACTTAGGTTAAACATATTACATCCAATAGCTTATATTGTCCACGATTATAATAAATATAATAATACCTTATTATTTTGTATAGATGTTGGTGGGTGATACACATAATTGGTCAACATTTTTTGTTTCTATTTTATCTATTGACTTATCGTAAAATATTAAAATTACACTTGCAGGGTAAACAATCATTTAAAATTGATATAACTTTGACTTCAAAAAATTGTCTTTTCTTGTCAAAGAGTTTAATTTAATTTTGTATTCATTTGAAATTAAGGAAAAATCATTGTATTTGGAAAACCATCCTGAGTGATGTTACCAAGAATTATAAATTTTTATGTTTCTCTACAAGTAAACATAGTAATAAAGTGGTAACATAAATATTAGTAACTCTGAAGTTGAAACTTTTTATTCACCTTTAAATTGACACTCTCTTATAGAAACCGATTACATAAGTAATTTAAATATAAATATAAAAATATCCAAAATAAATGAATAGCGTGTACCTAATGAAATAAAAGTAAGTAGTAATTTCATATATTATAAAAGTTATGTAGGTATTACATAAATATTTTACCATACCTACTTAAATTGTTAGGTAAACGTAAAAAATGCCTAAACAACTATTTTTAACTATAAATTAAACATTTTTATGAATATTAATATTTCAAATCACTAAAAAATATATTACAGTATATTTTTTTAAATTAAGTAAAGTTATTTGAATCAGTTACTTCTGCAGGTTTCATAATAATCTTTTTTTTTTTTTAATAAATTCAATATTTTTGAAAAATGGATGAGTCTTATATTTTAAGTTACCTAGTTAAAATTTACAAAGTTTCTTAAAAAAACCTATTTATAGTAATTTAATAGCCCTTAAAAATAAAACAGTTTGTGATCAAAATATTGATGGCCAATAACAATAACTTAGGCACATGAAATAATTTTTATTATATTGAACAAACATTAAATTGTTAAATAACATTTATTTTTATGGTTGTATCTTATTTATTTGAATTTTTAAATAATTATATTGTTGAACTTACTTCCCATGGTACGTTAGCACGGTTTACGTGATCAACGATGTGTTGTAGTTTAAAATTTGCATTACACGACAGCCAAATATTACAAAATAATAGTAACAATAAAATCTCATTATTTCTCAACATGATGATGATTGAAATCGGTAATTTCTATTGTAAGTGAATACTAAAAAATAATTGATATAGATATTTATTGTTTAATGGTGACTGATATGTCTGTAATATCTTAAAATAACACTTAATTTTAAGTGTTATGTACGTTTTTAATGCAGATTTATGTACTTAAATACTTAGTTATTAAAAATTATAATGTCATTGGTATACCTACTTATAATATAGATATTGTTGAAGAGTAAATTGTATTTTGTCAAATTGTGTAAATATACTTTTTATACATGTATAGATAAATCTATTTAAATAAAATATTATCTGATATGTACTTCATATTAGCTTATTATAAATTATTTAATACTTACGCATGATAGGTAGTATATTTTATGATAATTTAATATGAGAGAAATTACCCATACTATTTACATTGATTTACATTTTGTACTACTCGTCATTGACTAGATCACTGTAACGAATGTGTTAAATTTGAACTCAATGATAAATCATTGTATCTACTTAGTATAGACCTACAGGCTACAAGGGCCGTAAATTTTCGGCCTGTTCCATCAATTTCATCCTCAGGCCCGGCCTGGCCAGGTCCAAAAGTTATTGTGAAAAAAAAGCCCGAAAATAATGCTAAGCTCATTAGATCTGGTCCAAAACATTTTGTGAAAAAAACCCAGAATTTTATATTGTATAAGTCGTACATTTCATACTTTAAATTAATACTAGCTGATCCCGTGCTCTTAAATGTATCAACTCTATTATATGACTCAAACTTTGTTCAATTCGTTGTTTAATATTCGGTGTACGGTGTTCAAAATTTATCTTAACTTTTCCGTTGCCCAGAATAGAAATTTTGAATCGCAGCAGTACATTATCAGGTAGGCAATTTACCTGCGGTAGATCGCGGACCCCGTGCTGTTTGTACGTAAATGTGTGATTTAACTCTAAAGTATCAAAGTTATACCAAGTTTGTCGTTTTTACTTAATTCCACCTACCGTTGATTAAAATAATCAATTTATTTAACATAATTTATATTTAAAAAGTAAAGCAAATATATTTTTTTTTATCATCATTATTATTATTATTATAGCTTAAAAACCCGGCAACCATTAATAAACAAAAATTTCCATCTGAAATTTCAAAATTCCCGTTTGAGCACCTCCCGGGGTTGGTCCTCTCCCTTTTTAAATTAGCCTATGTCTTAAGTGGACCAAAATACACACAATGTAAAAATTTCATCAAGGTTGGTCCAGTAGTTTTTACAAAGTCACAAACTTTCGCGTTTATAATATTAATAGGATTATGTTTCAACTTTCAAGTATCTATACCTATGTGCTATAATATACATTACTACGAGCTCTATTTTATTCCCAATAGTGAACACAAAATGATTTATTCACACAAACTGATTGTATTGTGTATATTTAAAAAAAATTATTTATTTAATTACACTACCTATTTGATATTTTAAAATAGATAATTATTTTGTCCAACCATTGAAGAGATAATTAGAGAGGTCCACAGTTTTCCATGATCCACAATATTATAATAAAGAATAATAGTAGGTAGGTATAAGATTATAAAAAACTGAAAAAAAAAATAATAATTTATACATTCTATTTTTATCCGTATAGAATCATTATAAAAGGACCACTATGGCACTATATATACTTAATATTCAATAGTATGGTGGATTAAGGTGTATTATAGACTTATATTCAACGGTGTAGCAAATATAAACTCGTGCATAATCCTCTACATAAAACCGAGGAGCTTGAGAACTTCCAAATATAATTAATATAATAAGTGTTAAGTAATAAGTAAATGATAATATATTTTATAGTTAATAGTATATACTCTGTGTCTGGTATATAATATGTGGAAAATAGTTAAACTAGCTGAACCGGGTAGATGCAACGATGTAGCGATGAATGAGTGAGTGAGTGACTGACTCAGTTAGTGGTATTTGGCTTATATATAATATATATATCTATACATGTAAAATCCAAATACCACTTGCCTGAACTTCTTTAAATTAAGAATTGAGAGTATCTTCTCACAAGTATATCATAATACACAGGTACACAGATTTCATGTGTATAGACAAATCGAATGACATATCGACATATCGTGGTATAATGTCGATGTTCCAATAATTGTTATACATATTT